TAATGTCTATTGCTTTGTTTTCTGCAGTTAGAGAAGACTGCATGCTCTGACCCAGCTGGTTTCTTTCAGTCCTCCACGTCTATGAGTGGAATCTTGATAAAGTGGAGGTAAGACATTTAGCAATCACCTTTTACTTATGCCAAGGTGATATAGGCAGGTCTGTCGAAAATAACTGTCCATGAGTCAATGCATATAATCATGCCAGCTATGACTGAAGAAATCATCATCCTTCATTATCTGTGGAAGACAAACCTCAATTAACAGTGAACGCAGCTGGTTTTTGGAGTTCAACAGCAAAGAGGCTTATGAGGGTTAGCACTTCAATGAAGCACAGTAATTGTTTCACTGTGCTTATTATCTAGCCCCTAAAGAAAGCGAGAACAGTCAGCTGGTAAATAAGCAGTGATAAGCCGTCAGAGCAATTTTGTGCACTAGTGGAGATACAATTCTTCTAATACTGATCCTGGAGGAAAGCGGAGTTTCAGTCAGCTAGGTGCCTAGTGCATAATGGTCCAAGAGCAAAGGGGAGATGCTTTAGCTTTACGTGGGGTCAGAAAAATGAGAGAGGTTCCCACCCAAATTCTTCACGACGATGTACCACAGCATCCTCTGTGCCTATGGACTGCACAGACAGAAGATAGTCTCTACCTGCTGTTTAGCTCAGGCTACAATTACTTGGGGTTCGATTTCCTGAAGTCAACGTGATGAGCTGTTGCCCACTGGGGAGTGTGGCATTTCTCAGGCCAGGCTACAAGTGGCTGTGATGAATATTGGAAGTCAATGCTACCGCACAACTAAGGCTCATTCTCAAATCCATCTGCACAGAAACACCTTGAGAACATGCAACCACCCAGTTCCCTGCCTCGATTCACAGCCCCATCTCCTGCAGCTCCAGCCCTGACACACACCCTCTACAGACCTGAGCCTTCCTCACCTCCTTTCCCCTTCCAACTGTTCCTGTTCCCTGGTCTGCCTGACCAAGCAAACCACACTTGCCATGCTGACACCATCCTTCCCTTCGCCGTAGATGGGCACCTCCTCAGCTCTCTTTGCTTCATGGCTTCATGGCAGTCTCAGCTGTGGCAGACGATACTCACCTTCACCACAGGTTCAGTCCAAGCTTCATTGCTAGGCTTGACTGGTTATAACAATCCCAAACGCACATTCACCAGCTGAGTAGCCAAGAGATATTAACCCCTGCTTCACCAGCACTGACCAGTACTGTGTGCTCCCACACAACACAATGCAGTCACACAGCAGCATCCAGCACTCCCCTCTCCACTGTGGGCGTCTTCTTCATACACTGCCCAGGAAGCAGCTCTGCTAGCAGACAGGCAGGGCACTGTTTCAAGATACTTGAAAAGGAACACCAATAAATAAAAGTGAAGAAAATCAGAAGTACATCTATAGGTGAAAACCCTTGTCCCACACCAGGAAAGTCAATACAAGTGAAGATTCTGGCTCCAGAATCCAAATTTGTCATGTTGAATAAAAAACATTTGTTTCAGAAGAGGCCCAGTGTTGGAAACCCTTACTGACTTCACCAATTTCTCCAGGTAAAACGCAAAAATAATTACTAGTAACAGTGACATTCTAAGCAGAGATTGTTAATATTAACACAATGGCTTAACAGGAACCTTTATGAGGTATGAATGCTGCCTCTCTTCCCGCTGAAGAAAAGACTAATACACATGTGGTTTTGATGCCTGGATTATTTTTTAAGAACCTTCTGTCCAGAAGAGACAAAGACTTTGCAGGTGTAGTCCTCAGCCCTGCAGCTGCCCAGCACAGGGGATTTCTTACGGATCTCAAATGAGAATAAGGCAATTTAAGGTGCTAGAATAGACAAGAAATGAATGCCCTGCGGCAGCCCTTTTTGAAACCTTTGCCATTTGTAGTGGCAAGGGCCAGGAATCTCTTTTCTTCTTATGAAGAAGCGGAGCAACGCCTTTGGAAGGCTTTTTTTCTCCTTAAGATGCAGAAGCACGGATCTTTCTCGGTGTTTTTTTTGGGTGGGGGCAGACTTGGCTGAAGATGTACCCACCTCAAAGCAACCAGGAAATTTCTGCCTGCAAAGACTGTGCTTCTCTCACACATATTTCTGCAAGAACTATGTTGGTGCTGTAAAAAAAGTTCTGGCTTTATACTTAGCGACCTGAAACAGGGAACAGGACCTTGCATTGACTTCAGTGTACTGTACTTTCCTGCTTTCAAACCCATTTTGCCCTATGTTCATATGTCCGTAGAAAAAAGTGGATAGTCTGTAAACCTCTTTTTCATCATCTAGATCATAAGGGCTGTAAAATTGAGCCTGAAGACCACTTACATCTGATGGTACTTCTCTCTTACGCATATAGCTTCCTCTGGTTAACTGCATATTTTCCTGAACTTAGAGGCAAGATCAAAAAAAAAAAAAATCACAAATATTAATTATAAAAGAAGTCCTGGAAACAGGAGCAGAAGTTAAATGCTGAAACAGAAAACAAAGAAAACAGAAGATTCACAAATTTTACACCTCACAAGAGTTTGGATTCAATAGAAGTTTATACTTTTGTTTTTTTCCTCTAGAGTTAAAAAAGCAATTAACATTTTTAAGTACACAATTTAAAAAATAGTGTTTTATGATTGACATGTTTTCAGTCAATTTCCTAGATGGCTTTAGCAAAATCAAGCACAATTCCTACAGTTACAGCAGTTCAACATTTATATGAAGATATTTATATTGTAATGTTCGTAAGTTATGCTCTCCACATCCTGGAATGGCCCTCTTTCATCACATAATTGATTTAAGTGTCATTTGTGAAATGTGTTCTACTCAGACACATACCTGTTTTAGCATTCTAGCCAAATTCTTCCAAGGGCCTTTTACAGGGATAAATCAGGGTTTTAGATCTATGACATTTTCTTAACAGGAATGCAGATGCAGTTTCTCATTGGAAAGACAGCCCTATTTCCAAATTAGCCCAATTGACGATAGCCTAACGAGAGGCAACATGATCTATACCACACAATTAGTGTTGCGTAAATCCTAATGTGGTGCTAAAACAACAGTGAAAAAATGTCTGGCTAGAGGCAAAAATTCAGCTCTTTTTCCTTCCGCTTCTTTGACTTAATGAAGAGACACACACTTAACTAACTGCTTTGGCAGGCCAGCAGGCGGTCTTTGCTTAATAATACCATTAGGAATTCCACAAGGTTTCAGCTTCTAATATTAAGGATCTTCAACATATACTTTTAAAAAGTGAACCTCAGGATTATTTTTCTTTTCAAAAGATTCTTTTTCTCTCACTTCCTCCCACTAGTTGCTGCATCAGGCATAACAATACACAAATATGCAATGCGCAGTCCAAACTGGGCACTTGTTTGTCACAGGAAAACTCAATACTTAAAGAGCACTCTGCTAACGAAAGGATATTCAGAGCAACTCTGAGTTCACAAATAATAGAAAACTACCTTCCCCATACGCTTGCTTCAGGCTTGCCACATACATCTGTCTGAATTTGCTCAAAGGCAGGACAGCTCTTCATTTTACAGGTCTGAGTTGTGAACATGTAGCACAATTCCAGTTTCATATTCACAACAGAAAACAAAGAATCTAAACACCAAATTGGGTCATACTTGTCCTTCTTCACACTTAATTAGATTCCTCTTTTTGGCTAGTTCAACAGTCTTTCTAGATCTAGTAATCTATAACAAAGCAACAGGCAGACAAACATTTGAAAGACGGCTGGCTTTTGTCTTGGAGTCCACTTTCTTTTTAAAAAATAATCATGTAACTTTTAAAGAAAAGATATTAGTGCCATAATCCAACTAGTTTCCTCCCCTATCTGTTTTATGCAGTATAAAATATAGCAGAAAATATAATTATCAGCTGCCTAAAAATGGGTAACATTTTTGTTAGAACAGGGGCAGGGGTGGGGGGCAACCAGAGATCTAAATGCGTAACCAGAATGTTAACATGCTCAGTCTAAAACCACAGCTTCCCAAACATCTGCTTAGCAGCCTAACTTTCTATAGTAAGAGATTCACTGAGCCAGAGGGGAACCAAGCATGAACGCGGAGCCCTACAATATTGGCCTGGACATCAGCTTGAACGGGGCAGGCTCAGAATTGGATCACTCCCAACAGCTTTTCTTCCCCTCCAGTGTGCATGAAGTCTCTGATCCAGTGAACACCTAATTCGTTTAGTCAAACTGGAAGTTCTACTGATACATTAGCAAATGCATCATTGCTCTACAGCCTCAATGTTACAGTATGCTTCACAGGAGAAAAAATTGATGGTTCAAACTCTATCAAGCAGAGGTCATAAACTAAACAAACTCACAGCCTTACGCATCATTGGCCAGTGTTCCCACCCCTAGACTAGAGTAGCATTTAGTCAGGTCACAATCCTTCTCCTTCTGATACTGCTCCAATCTCAAAAGACAGTACCAATCTTCACGAAACGACCGCAGGGTAAGAAACATTGCAAAAAAGTACCTCCAGACACAGATAGGCTAAGATGATTAGGACCAATTAAGGGTGGAATCTAAGACAGAGCCTTGCCATCTGCACTCTGTGTTCACTTGTAAAGGCAGGTCTGTGACCAACATATTTACTTTACGCTTGGCATGACTGTGTTTGTGGTTCTTTATAGGCACTGAATGCAAATAATACACGATGCAAAGCCCTTGTACATAATTTTGGATTCCGACAGTGAGCTTGACACAAAATTTTAGGAGGTGCGATACTCACAGCAGTGCTGTGAAGTCTTGGATTAGAGTTTCTTCTATCACAGCCTCCAGAAAATCTTAAGACATGGTTGCTACAGCCATGCTAGTAGATGACATGATCTGAAATGACTGGCACTTCACAGCCTCAGAGACCTCCTGCACCTTACAAAGGAACAGAGCACAAAAAATATTGCAAGGAGTAAGAAAAAGTTATGCTGGTGACCAAGTACATGGGAAAACAATTCGCATATCAAAGTGAAAAGCATCTTCTGATCAAAGCCTCTCTCATTACTCGACCATCTTGTACACAGGGTCTCCAACTTGAATCGTTCCAGTTTTGTCAACGGCAAAGTACCTTCCAAAGAGAGGGCTGGATTTGTATATGTGTTGCTCAGATGGATCACATAAGCGGTAACTGCAGAGAGAGAGCACTTCTTTAGAATCGGTGGTAACAAATTGTGAACATCAAGATATCAGTGATGAGAGAGAGGACACCTGAATAGTGATGCCCTGTTTCGGTCACCATACTAGACTAAAAGCTAAATAAATACTGTTTAAGAGAAACAAGGAGTTCAAATGGAGAAAAAAAAAGCCTGTTTGTATTCACGCATCCGTGTATAATACACATACAAAAGACTTTGTAAAAAGAAATGCCAAACTTGCAAAGTTATACATTTGAATACCTTAAATACCTGTTAGCCCAGGCATTCACCCTAGCAGAGATGAAAGGGACAGGGAATGTAAAGTTTGCAAGAAAGAAGAGAGAACTTCCTCAATTTTCTTACCGTATAGAATTGCAGAAAGTAGAATGGAAGCCAATATACACAGACCTTTATACTGCATTATTATGCCCCACACATAATTCAAACCACTTTTAAAATACTAGTCTAACATCTGTTGGGACCTAGCCTAAATCCACTCCCACAGCCTAAGAAGCACTGGTATTTTTACAACCTTTTCAATGTTTCCAGGGGCTCCTTCCTGTCCAGGACCCCAGTGTCCGGGTTAACAGTTGTTAAAATACACCTGCAATGACAGACAGTGCCAAATCAATAACAGCTTCTTATCATAAATCTCTATACATCTATATAAAATAATCAAATGTTTACCTGGCACAACACACTGTCCCTTTCATCTCCACATCGCCAATAAGAATCTCCTCCCAGGTGTCCTGAGGGAAGGTAATACACAGATTAGACATATCCACATGCAACCATTTTTCCAGGAGTGGCACAGTCATTCCTAGAAGCAGCAGTACCATTCCAGATGATCACCTTTACTTGTACCTTCAAAATAAGTACAGTTATATTATGGTACTATTTTAATGAAAAACCGGCAGTCACTGCATTCATCCAATTCAGGATCCACTAGTAATTATATCTGGAAGAAAGATACACAAGTAACAAATCCCGTTTTGCAGCATGGACTCGTCTGAACCTAAAGCAAGCTTATTCTTACTGTATGTGTGATAATCTGATCTGTGACCTCTGATAAGTCACAATTTTTGCAGAAAGGAAATTTTTAGTGGAACTAAGTTTTCACTTCTCGTCTACACAAGCTGCCTATTGCAATCTCTCTTGGAAGACAAAAACCCATTCCCACTTTAGGAACTTCTTAGATTTGGGAAATTATCTGATCTATCCAGAGCAAATTCTTTGGAAAAACGGCAACATGACATAAAAACACGTAAACACCACCATTACCCGTTCACTTCATCACCAGATACCTTCCTAGGTAGTGTTTTTTGAACTACCAGAATACTGTCAGAGATGCAGTGATAGACTGCGGTATTGCAAGGGTCAGTTTTACTCTTGTGCCAAAGGCTGTAAAACTGTCAATTTACAAATTGTTCATTTGTACCATTAATTGATCAATTATAGCATGCGTAGCTTTCCCTACTTTACACTTAAGATGAGCTTTCAGTAGCAAGCCTGTCATTTAAATACCCTTATTTTATCCTTTGCCAAGCTAAATAAGCATTCACGGACCTGTCTCCTCCCTCAGTGCTTCACATGCACTGATGTGAGCAGAAGCTGTATCTCTCTGGAAACCAGTTGTAAAAATCATGGAAGAGCAGCTTTCCTCATCCTTGTAGGCACCATCACATAAGGAAATTTGAGTTACAAAGAAACATAACCAAGCCTTCAAAAAGACATTTAAGACAGTTATTTTACCTCCTCAAAAGCACCGCAATCTGTCACAAGAATATTTGGCCTGAAGTTCTGTATCTTAACTTTCTTCTCCAGCCTGGTATTTAAATCTTCCAGTGAAGCTTCTGAGAGGATCAAGACTGGGCTACAGTCAGGATAGGCAACCTACACAAACAAACACAAACAAATCCTAAGGCTGCTGTAAGAGCACGGGACGAAAGTTACTGAACAGCAAAAGGACAGATATGTTGGAACCAGTGGCCACATATTAGCCGGACTGTTAGGCTGCTGCACTCAGATTTTAATTTTCCTGAAAGTAGGTTAACAAGTAAAATAACATGCGCTTTCCTATTTCAGTAACCATGGCAAGTTCTGTTTGCTCAAACTGTAAAACTAAACTTCTACTTATAAAATTAAACCAAAATTCTATAAGCTACCGCATCTTCTTACAAAATAATACTGTATGCATGTCCCAGACATTTATTCTAGGTGTTACAGACAGAATTAAGTATATCAGTAAAACATGTTATGGTAAGTTATGAAAGGTACTTAAGATGTTTATGGACCTGCTGAACTTATCTGGTTGACTATAATCCACTAACTGGATTTTTCTATATAATGAATCTATCTTATCACAACACCAGAGGGAGTTTCATATACAGAACGGCAATACCAAATTGCAACTGTCCATTCGTCAGTCTGTTTGCTTGGAAGTGGGAGGGCTGCCCTTTTAGCAAACAAGGCCAATGAACAGTATTAAAAGAAAACTCTTATATATGCTAGTTCCACAGAAAAAAAAAAAAAAAAAGGAAATTTGGCAAGAATTTCAGTGTATACCTCTCCTCCTGTCTTTCTCTTACATTATCCTTCACCACCCCCCACCTTGTACATACCTTTACAACCACAAGAAGATGAGTGGTGAAATACCTGTACAAACGATTCTGCCCTCTTTTCATGTTAGGATTCCTGAATGTCACACCTCCTAATCTGGCATCCCTTTTGCTGAAACCTAGTCTTCTGTACTGGTCTCAGTGCCCTTACATAATAAATGCATATCTATAGAAGTCCCTAATTGAATATACCTTCTCCTCTTTGTGCAACAACAAGCAAAACACCGATGCCCTATAGGTAATAGCATCACATCAGTAAGGCAAGGTATTCACAATTTGCATTTGCTTAAAAAGCTTACACTCATCAGGTACAGTTCAAACCATCTTCCCGTGAGAGCTGTTCAGACAGAAAGAAGGGCATCAGTGGCTTCAATGGCATGAGGATGACTGAGCACAGCAACTCCTTTCCCTGCCTGCATTAACTTTATCTAATCACACACCTTCAAGCCTCTTCCCACAGAAAAAGATAGATATGAAACCTCTGTAACCTTCTTTGGATTTTAATTCCTAGGCCCACAACTATAGAGCCCTGGGTTAAGCATCGTTCCTTTAAACAAAATATGAGGTAACACAACTCATATCGGTACACTCCTAGACCTAACAAGGGATAGGGAACGGAGGTTTTTTATGCAACACAGATTACACCATCAAAACATCTTTAAAAAAATAACTTTTTTATATTTACTGAGGCACAAAAGGAATGCTATTCTGCAATGTAATAGTTCCTCTTCAAACATCAGCATCAGACTCTTTAGCTGTGAACGGTCAATAGCTTAGAACAGATTTAAAGTAGAATTCAAGCAAGTCATCTCATCATAGAAAAGAATATTCATGTGGTTTAAGTACATGACTACATACCTTGCTAAACTGGGCTCAATCAATCACCAATGACGGAATGGGCACGTTTCAATGGGTGGGTGGGAGGGAAATGGTTAAAAGAAAGTACTTCTGAGAAAATAAACATTCATTTACCTCATCTGTGTTTCGGAAAAGTTTTATTACGTCCTTTGACTTTCTTGGCACCATGGAGGGCTCAAAGTGCACCAGTCGATACGGCTCTGAATTCAGGAAAGTGGTGATCCACTGAGCTACTTCATCTCCACAGTCCCTGCCTTGGATATCCAGTCCAAAGAGCCTGAAGAGTCACAAGATGCATCAGCAAGTTAGCTGGAAAGCCAAAGGCTCAAGGATATTTATTGTTCAAAGGCAAACAACTTGTTTTAATACTAGTAGCAAGATACAGTAAACAAACCACCTGGATTGTAATGAGGTGGAAGTTGGTTTCTGAATTTGGCACAAGAGTCATTCCCAGTGTGCAACATCTTTGTGGCCACCTTGTTTTGAAAGCTAAGTAATATGGACATGGCCAGACAATACCAGCTGGTAAAAGAATGAGCTGTGAAATAGCCTTTAGGTGCCCAGAGCTAAATGTCACATCAATGACCAGTAACAAATCTACCTGTTTGCCATACCTGCAAGCAAAAAAAAGGGTCTACTCTTGCATTTGCACACCATTGTAACACCAAAAGATAAAAGGTAATTAAATTCAGAAAATGAATCATAGTTTGAAAGGATGTGGTTAGTTACTGTAATTGACATTTACAAATGTTATTAATTGTAAGTGTCCCTGATTGTTAAGGAAGCTCTCCTTCAGATTTTTGTGCTGTAAAAGTTTAGCCAGAGCTGAGTGAAACTCTCAAGCTCAAACTTAGCATATAGAATAGCTCAGTATCTTAAGAGAGGTTAAAGATTTATAATGGAAGCAAAGTCCATGAGGCATAAAAAGCCACTGGCAGCAGAATACAAACAAGTTTACGCAAGGAACACTTTCCTGGCAAGAAAAGGTCAACCTCAACTCAACCTTTCAGTAAACTTCCAACACCACTCATGAATAGTTTTACTACTCTATTAAAAGTAGCGATTTTGACCCAAATGCACTGCAGTTTCCTGTACCCCTGCAATCATACCCTGGACAGCTTAAAGCATAGAGATACCCAGGCAGTTCGTCTAGTCCGAGCCCAGCTCCTAGGAGCCCTCCTTTACTCATCTGGGGGAGAGATGAATCATTAGGGTGCTGGCAGCAGCATCGCTGCTTTATTTGCTGGGATCCCTGTATCAATGCTGTGGTACAGGTTGGGGTTAAATGCCATTGCCACAGACAGCATTCAACTGCCTTTCTCTTCCCTCCATTCTCTCAGCGTCTGCACGCCTTCTGGCTGGCAGGACAACAGAGGTGAGTGTCTTACAGCTTCCAACACTACTGTTTTCCACCCAGGAAGCAGATCTATCCTGAGCACTCGGTGGTATAGGGATCCATGGGACTAGATCATGCAATTTAAGTATTGCAACACAAACTGACATACTGGCAAAGGGCACAAATGAAGAACATGCTTCTTAACCAGAGGGCTACAGAAACCCTCTAATATTTGCACAAAGAGAAACAATGCCTACACAGTGGCTTCAGTCCTACCTTTCACTCCCCCCAACACAGGATTTTTAAATATCCATGTAAAGTCTGCACCTGGACGTACCAGTTTTAAAGATTAGCATCTGCACAGCCTTTTGCAGCGAGAGGCACTACTGCATTGCCTCAGCTCCCAACTACCAGGCATGAGACAGCACCAATCTGAAGGCATCATGCTCGCCCAGTGGTGGAATAAATACAAGTCTGTGCAGAGGGCCTTGGCGGCAGAGTGTACTGCGCAGTAAGACAGCTACTGCTACTCACAAGCTGGAAGGGAAGAATCTAGGAGCAAAAACCAAATCTTCATTTGCCTGAATACAGTACTATTCCCAATCCTCATTCTTACGAATGGCTGAATGGATTAGAAAAAATCAGCCTTCAGCTGACAAATGGCAAATTGTTTAAGCACAGCAGAGTCATACAAAACTTCAGGCTTCCTCCTGAAAAGTATGAGGCTATGTTTAACTATAGGTATTGCTAATTTCACATCCTATGACACCACCTACATTACCAAACAACTCGGTAATTTTTAAAGTCTGTTTACATGCATCTAACGTTTGCTTATTCACATTCCCAAATTCTAGCAATTTTAAAGCCAGAGTGTGCTATAGTTTATTAAGGCAAAGAAAGAAAAAAAATCAAGAGAAGAACAAATCACTGAGATGTAAAATTTGAAAATCTAAGATAATTTTTCATTACTGAAATGCACTTAGTCTATTGAAATATTTTTCTAATGGCACAACAAATTTTAGAAAAATAACATCTTGAAAACTGCATTGTTTCTGTAGTGTATGTGTCATCAGCTAACATACACACATTATAGACAGATTTTTCAAAGACTGTCCTATTTCTCCATGACTTGTAACTTGCACTGGCCCTGTATAAACAAAGATACTGAGCTATGCTGATCAAGGGTTTCCATAGCAACAGATTTATGCTAAAAGCTAGTGAATGCATTTTCTTTTCCGGCACTCTTTTAGTTTTAATTATAGCAGCTGGTACATTAACCTTCTCTGCTACCCAAAGGAAAAACACTTTATCGGTATCTCCGTATGGGCTAACACCATTTTCAGTTACTAAATGGTCTTACACGTTAATTGACATTTTAACAGGGAAAAGGTTTTCTGCTTCCCCCTGGCAATTTTCCAGCATGGATTTCAATACATGGATAAAATAACTATGCTTGCATTCATCTGGCATAACTCTAGGCACACAGCTAAATGACTACAATGGTAACCCGTTCACCTGAAACCCCTTTGAGATAGCACCTACAAGGAATGACTTGCTCTCTGGGGATGCCCTTCTTTCCCTAGTGACCACAGAGTAAGCCTCGGGCAACCAAGTTATTAATTTAGGCACCTCAGTTAAACACCTACAGACAGGGGTGAGCGAATCTAAACCCTTACATCTCACCAATTCCAAATGGCCAGTGTGTATCCAAAAATGCTGACGCTACTAGCGGTGAGCAAGAAATACCAGTATGTATGACTGAGGCTCTGAGATGCAATTGCTCACTCAAGCAAAAATGAAAACACTATAAGTAAACACAAATGAGTAAACATGACATTCTATGAAGATTGAAGATCACAGTTCATTTGGCAGATATAAAATGTATGGTCTTTGAATACTGTGTCATCTTTTCCTGAGATTTGTTTCCATCAGCGTTTAGCAGATTAAAACTAGACCTTTTGTTATGACAATCAATCCTGGCCTCCTGTATAACACACAGCAGAGAATTTCACAGAATCACGGAATGGTTTGGCTTGGAAGGGACCTTTAAAGATCATCCAGTCCAATCCTTCTGGCATGTGCTGGGACACCTTCCACTAGACCAGGTTGCTCAAAGCCCCATCCAGCCTGGCCTTGAACACTGCCAGGGATGGGGCACCCACAATTTCTCTGGGCAACCCATTCCAGTGTCTCACCACTCTCATTGTGAAAAATTTTTTCCTTATGCCTAATCTAAACCTACCCTCTTCTAGTTTAAAACTTGTCCCTTGTCCTGTCAGTAGAGGCCCTAGCCTGAAGTCTGTCTCCATTCTGCAGATGGGGGGGGCAGACCCTCCCAGAAAAGAAGCAGAAGCCCCCAGCTTTCACCCTCCAATTTCTGCATAAGAAAACGCAAACCATCACACAGTCTTGAACAGCAAAGCATGTAAGCGAGAGGCGGTATTTAGAGAGAAGGGAGGGGAAACAACCCTCCTTCGTTTACCTGCAGTTCACCACGGGATTTTTCCTGGGGAGCTTTACAGGCAAGCACAGCTTCTTCATTTCTGGGGCCTCCAAGACCAAGTGCCCATTCTCACAGCTGACGGAGACGAGGACCAGCCGCGGCTCCTGGCGAGCTGTAACCATGTGCCCATCTTCCTTGGTCACAAGCCAGAACCTGTAGCGCGACGGGGGACAGAAACGCGTCGCCCAAGGTTAAAGGCCGACGCCGGGTGCAGGCTACTCCCGCAGCACCGCGGAGTGCCGGGCACGGCAGCGCCCGCCACAGCAAACAGGTGCCTCCTCAAGGGCGGTGAAGAACACCACAGCGAACAAACGCGGAGCCAGAACCGGGCCCGACCGCAGCGGGGCCTGCCCCCGGCTCGGGCCGGGCAGGAGCACCGCGCCTCGCCCCGCCGTACCTGTCC